ATAGGACTTGTATCGCTGAAGTTCCTCGGATATAATTTATACCAGAAATTAACAAACGAGCAGATACGTAACAATATGTTTAATATAAAATATTTAAACTATTGTTATGTTTAATTTATTTTATTCTTTAACAACAACTACAAAGTAATCATCAATTTAATTTTATTCCATAAAATTTAGTCGATTTTCATTTTACTAATGAATGATTAACTTTAAAATGTCTATATTTCATGCATTAAATACCATGCACAGGGTGCACAATTTTTTCCCAACGACCGTAGAATGGGCTATTTATTTTGGTTCCGAATTAACAAAGTTTGTATAAATACTTAGCGATATAAATCCCCGTGTTAACTAGAACAACAAAATAATCATCAACTTTATTTTATTCGATAACCAAAGAACATTTTATTAACGAATGATTAACTTTAAAATGTCTATATGTCTACGGACTTACAACGCTAGAATCCGGGTTTCGATACCCATGGTGAGCAGAGCACAGATAGCCCATTGTGTAGCTTTGTGATTAATTACAAACAAACAAACACAACAATTTCATGTATTAAATACCCTGCACAGGGCCCAACATTTTTTTCACGACGACCCTAGAATAGGTTATTTATTTTGCTTCCTAACTGGCAAAGTTTCTATAAATACTTAGCGATATAAGTCACCGTATTTAAAAGACTTTCAGTTGCTAATTACGACGTTTATCTAAATACTTTGTGTTTTAAATCACCATCTTTAAGGGACTTTCATTTCCCAACTAACAAAGTTTGTATAAATACTTAGCGATATAAGTCACCATTATCACGAGTTTACAATGCGATGTGTTAAGAAAAACAACAACATAATAATTATTTCTAAATTTTACTTTTGTGTAAAGTTACAACTAAATCTGTATTGCCTTTTTTTTTCTTTTTACAGTGCTTCTTGAGACTCGTATCTAAGTCTGACTTTTTTTTTCTTTTACGAACATGTGCATTAAACAAATCCAGGAAGGATGTATTACATGTCTGACATATAAGATACGGATGATAATATCACTAAAAAACAAAAGTATCTTAGAGACGGTAACTTAAAACACAAAGTATTGATATAACCGTTGTAATTAGGAACTGATAGTCCCTTAAAGATGGTGACTTATATCGCTAAGTATTTATACAAACTTTGTTAGTTAGGAACTGATAATCCCTTAAAGGTGGTGACTTATATCGCTAAGTATTTATACAAACTTTGTTAGTTGGGAAATGAAAGTCCCTTAAAGATGGTGATTTAAAACACAAAGTATTTAGATAAACGTTGTAATTAGGAACTGATAGTCCCTTAAAGAGATGTGTTAAGAAAAACAACAACATAATAATAATTATTAATTTTTTTAATTATTCTTTTGTAAGAGTTTTAAGTCTAAGTTTTACCAAATATACTCTGTAAGTTTGTAACATTATAAACTCGTGATAGTACAAACTTACAGAGTATATTTGGTAAAACTTAGACTTAAAACTCTGACAAAAGAATAATTAAAAAAATTAATAAAACATTTAAGTCGAATTTGTTTTGTTTTTTTAATGGAACAAACACTGGGTAGTATGGTATGTGTGGGTCAGCAGTAAGTTTACGGACTTACAACGTTAACATCCAGGGCTCGATTCCCCGCGGTGGACAAAGCGCAGATAGCCTATTATGGAGCTTTCCGCTACGACAAACAAACAAAATTGTTATGTATGTATATAAATGTTTGTTTCTTAGAATGTGTAATGTTTTAGTTTAAAATATGAATGTATGCATCTGTTATAATAATGCTCAGTTTTTGTCTGTCCTGAGAATGTGCGCACACTTTACTATCTAAATGCGCATGCTCGCGCACTTATTTCAACGGATGTAAACAAAAGGCGGATGTAGATATACTTTAGTAGACATTTTGTACAACACCATATAAGAAAAGCTTATCAAAGTTTTTAAAAAGGCTTTACGTTAGATCGTAGAATAGCATTATAAGTTTATCTATTATATAAAGACGAAAAGCCTTCCGTCTGTCACGTCGATATCTCGGCCATTGCGGTAACGATCGATACGCAACTTGCACGAAACGACGGCGCTTTCTGTCGCGGCAGGCAAGTTTGTCTTTTAAAAATTCTTTAATTAAGATAAACAAAATTCGAGCCTGGTATGTATAACCTAGTGATTAGGGCGCTCTTCTCGCACTCTACGGATCGTAGGTTGGAATCCCATCACCTAACGTGTTCGCCCTCTCAGCTGTGGAGGCGTTATAATGTGACGGTCAATCCCACTATTCGACTAAAGTAATTCAAGAGTTAGCGGTAGGGGTGTTAACTAGCAGTCTTCCCTCTAGTCTATAACTTCAAAATTAGGAACGACAAGTGCAAAATAGTCTTCCAGTAACTTTGAGCGAAATTCGACAAACAAACAAACTTTATAAAGTGTACTTGCCGTTACAAACTATTGCCTTATTTACTTCTTTGATTAAGACTAATTTGAATTAATTCGAAAATAGCTTGTTTGGTACAAATCCTTTAAACTTAGAAACCTGAGTAAAACTATACAAAGATCTAAAAAAGACTCAGACGAATTGATTATCAGACGCAAAATGAGCCGTTTCTGTGTATGTGCTTGTAATGAATTTTTACTAATCCACTCACAACTAGTAATTAATAGTCGTTCCGTTGTATAAGGAAATGTATTTTTTTTGTTCAAGCCTATATATCTTATTTAAACATAAGTTTTCTCTAATAATGTTCTACTTTTTATTCCAGATTGTAGTGGAGTTGAAATAGTTTCACGATCCCAGTGGGGTGCTCGGAATCCAACTGGAAGCTCTACACTCTCAGCCCCAGTGAACGTAGTACTGATTCATCACACTGCTGGGTCTTCTTGCAACAGTTTATCATCATGCTCCGCTACAGTAAAGTCAATCCAAAACCACCATATGAACAATAAAAGTAAGAATGAAGCTACCTTTAACATATGCTATTTGAATTCAAAAAGGTCGTTTAAGAAAATGTGGATACTACAGAAATGTGAATCCTCGTGAAATTGAACTGATAAGATTTAGTTTAGTGAATATACTTTTCACAGAAAGGTGTATGTTAGCGGAATTGAACTTAGAAGGTTGGGTTTAGAAACTATGGTTCTCATAGAGATGAGTATGTTAGCGGAATTTAACTTAGAACATTGGGATTAGAAAATATGGTTCTCATATGGAGGCACGTCTTAGTGAAATTGAACTGAGAAGATGTGGTTCTCACAGAGATGAGTAGGCTAGTGAAACTGAACTGAGAAGATGTGGTTCTCACAGAGATGAGTAGGCTAGTGAAACTGAACTGAGAAGATGTGGTTCTCACAGAGATGAGTAGGCTAGTGAAATTGAACTGAGAAGATGTGGTTCTCACAGAGATGAGTAGGCTAGTGAAACTGAACTGAGAAGATGTGGTTCTCACAGAGATGAGTAGGCTAGTGAAACTGAACTAAGAAGATGTGGTTCTCACAGAGATGAGTAGGCTAGTGAAACTGAACTGAGAAGATGTGGTTCTCACAGAGATGAATAGGCTAGTAAAACTGAACTGAGAAGATGTGGTTCTCACAGAGATGAGTAGGCTAGTGAAACTGAACTAAAAAGATGTGGTTCTCACAGAGATGAGTAGGCTAGTGAAACTGAACTGAGAAAATTGGGTTTAAAAATGTGAGTCTGACAGAGAGGAGTCTTACCCTCGAAAACTTCAGGAGCTTCTCGTAAGGGTGATAAATCTGTTCGGAGGGTGAAATGATACAAAATAAACAAAACCGAACTGGAACTAACTTCTGTAGCTACAACCGATTAATAACTATGGAAAAGTAAACCCAAATTTAGAGTTTTTTTTTCCCCTAGCCGTGCCTAGACATTATGTTTTTAGACGTAACTGTTAAAAACGCATTGATGTTTAGTAAAAACAAATGCTCTTCTTGTGGGTTATTATTCTAGCAGGTTTATGTAGTTAAGATTTAAAACTTTCAATAAGTATTGTGCCACATAACTCACCTTTTTATCTCAGAATTTCAAGCTCTCTGTGATAAACCGTTTAGATCTCATTCTGTCATTTTTTTTTATGTTGTTGATATTTTCTATATTTTTGGTACCGATACTGTGATACTATATATTTTAACTTTGGTACCGATACTGTGATCCGATATATTTTAACTTTGGTACCGATACTGTGATCCGATATATTTTAACTTTGGTACCGATACTGTGATACTAAATATTTTAACTTTGGTACCGATACTGTGATACTATATATATTAACTTTGGTACTGATACTGTGATACTATATATTTTAACTTTGGTACCGATACTGTGATCCGATATATTTTAACTTTGGTACCGATACTGTGGTACTATATATTTTAACTTTGCTCTGTTTTATTTGTTATAAACGTTATTCTTTTCTGTCTGAGAGTATTTCTAGTATTTCATTTTTGGTTATCTCTAAGGATATTCAATAGGATTTGTATTTTGACTTCTGTTCTATAAACTACCCCCAAACGTATAAGATGTTTGTTCCTAATGTTAACATAGCCCTCATTATTTTGAATGAATCAGTAAGTTATTTGTTAACACATTTTAGTTAATGGAAAGGTTAAAGAAACATGTTATTGATAAACACATTAACTTGGCGTTCGTTCAGTTTAAGACATTAACATTTCATATGTTACATCCATCAAGTACCCATAACGATCCACGTTTTTTGCTTAATTTTAATAATATCTATTTTTTAAATATTTAGCGTATACATCCATAATTATAACGTATAAAAATAAACGAATAACTATTATCCACACTCCACAGTGTTATGTTCATAGTTAAAAACTATCTTAACTAAATATTCTTCGATAAATGAATATAACTAATCATACATATGTTATAGTTCTTCTTCTTTATTGGGATCTGGGAGGGTTATATTTAACAGTCCAATCTGTCTGGGTCGGGATTTATATCATTTCTATGGATCTGAGAGGATCAGGTTCTACTTAGACCTCCTCTTCCTCCCTCCTGAACTATTGTTGATTTTAAACTTGAATGTAGTGGTTGGCGTGCTGATGATGGATTTATTTTCTATTTTCTAATATCCTTTTCAGGGCCATGTCCATGTATTTTATCAGATTGTTGGTATTATATGGTCTGGATATGGATGAATCATTTGATTCTTGGCCATGCGTATTTTGAATTATGTAGTTCATGAATTGCTGGATTATGCATGTCAGTACTGGTGTAAAGTATGGCTTGGCTGAATAGTTGGACTGTGCATTGCAGTACTGGTGTAAAGTGTTGCTTGGCTGAATAGTGGAACATGCATGGCAGTACTGGTGTAAAGTATTGCTTGGCTGAATAGTTGGACTATGCATGGCAGTACTGGTGTAGAGTGTTGCTTGGCTGAATAGTTGGACTATGCATGTCAGTACTGGTGTAAAGTGTTGCTTCGCTGAATATTGGGACTGTGCATGGCAGTACTGGTGTAAAGTGCTGCTTCGCTGAATAGTTGGACTATGCATGGCAGTACTGGTGTAAAGTGTTGCTTGGCTGAATAGTTGGACTATGCATGGCAGTACTGGTGTAAAGTATTGCTTGGCTGAATAGTTGGACTATGCATGGCAGTACTGGTGTAAAGTGTTGTTTGTCAATTGCTATAAATAGGATGATCAATTTTGTAGGTTTTGGTATTGTCAAAGAAAATATTTTTAGCTGCATTTATAATTGGGTTTATTGTTTGTTCTTGACTAGTTTGGATTGTATGTTGCTTCGGTTTATATTTTAAAACACATCTACCTTTTTAAATTTCAGAATGGTCAGATATTGGGTACAACTTTCTGATTGGTGGAGATGGACGAGCTTACGAAGGTCGTGGTTGGACAAAAGTTGGAGCCCACTCGCCTAATTATAACAGAAGATCAATAGGAATTTCCGTTACGGGGAATTTTGAGGAGGACACACCGAGTTCGGCTGTGTTACAAGGAATCAAAAATCTAATCGAATGTGGGGTTTCTAAAGTAAGTACTTTTTGTATCTAATCTGGACTAATATGTTTTATTTTAAAAATAGATTCTAGGATAAGGTTTAAAATCAATGAAACTAACTATATTTCTATAATCTATTATTTCATTATCAGTTTAGTAAGATTGCCTACTTTATATAAGTTTTTGTTACTTCATCATTTTTTCAGATACAAAGACTAAAACTCAATCACATCACACCTTTTTCTCTATGTGTGTGTGTGTGTGTGTGTATTTCGCGTTCGTTATTTTGAATGTGCCAGCAAACTCTACTAAATGTTTGTCTCGTTCTGGATTATTTTATCTGTTTTTTGTTCATGTTATTAATGTCATAGATTATTAAACAATCTCTAAATATGTAGAAATGAAACTCTGCCAATCTTTAACTTTATTCGTGTACTTCATGCCCCAATGCTGCTTTATAAACTTTCACTTTAGAAGTAAATTTCCTGAGTTAACTTGTAAGAATAAAAGTTTTAACTTTCATTCTAGGGTTACATAACAAAAAGTCACACAGTCCACGGTCACAAAGACGCTAAGTGTACCAAATGCCCGGGAGTCCATTTATACAACACCATCCAAACTTGGACCAATTATGGAGGAAAGCTACCTGATTATAAGTGTTGATTGGATGTTTAAGTGATACTAACTTGGCTTGACTACTTTGTTACATATTTTGTTTTATGTAACAGGGATATAATTTTAAACTCTTACAATCAGTTATATTAACTCACGAAAAAATACTTCAACAATCTCTATATTTTTGAAAATTTGATTCACTAATTTGATTTGTTTTGTCACGTAAGATGAAGGGGTTACGTCAGACTTGCCTCTTAGCGCCCTTTTTGTTTCTTTTATATATAACACTGAATAAAGCTTTACAAAAGAATGAAACGTTGCTTTATTTAGTTTGTTTGTTTGTAGTTAAGCACAAAGCTACACAATGTACTATCTGTGCTCTGCTCACCACGGGTATCGAAACCCGGTTTCTAGCGTTGTAAGTCCGCAGACATACCGCTGTGCCACTATTTATTAAGAGTTAAAAGACTTTTAAGGCATACAAACCATTTTATTACTTTGTGAATACCCATGTTGGCTATTTTCATGGAAAAATATATAAACACACAGATACATATATAAATATACGTCCTCCAATGAGTTAGCGATAATCAAGTTTACGAACTTAAACACTAAAATCCGTAATTCGATCCCCCATGGTGGACAGTTCACACATAACCCATCGTCTAGCATTGTGCTAAAACATAGAAACGAAACAAATATATGTAATCACTGGTCAGTCAGTAGCATGTTTATAATTTACTTACAGTGTTGAAATTCAATGTTTGATTCCAGCCGTGAATAGAGCACAAAGTGGCCAATTGGGTATTCTTACGCTAAAAAAAAAAACCGGCAACAATTAATAAATCTATCTTCTTCTTCTTCGTAACGACCTTAATCATAACTAGTTTGGAGTTGGCCGGTAAGTTTGTAATCCGTAACGACCTTAATCATAACTAGTTTGGAGTTGGCCGGTAAGTTTGTAATCCGTAACGACTTTAATCATAACTAGTTTGGAGTTGGCCGGTAAGTTTGTAATCCGTGACGACCTTAATCATAAATAGTTTTGGAGTTGGCCGGTAAGTTTGTAATCCGTAACGACCTTAAGTATGTAAGACAAGAATTTTTACATCCGGGTGACCGGCCCAGACGGCAGCCGTACAGGAGCATCTTCGGCGACGAGAATTCGAATTCGTGACCCTCAGATTGCTATTAGAGTGCCCTAACCACCAGGCCATGTCAGGCCTGATAAATAACACTATATATATATGGTAAATTTACATTTACTTTGTGTTTTTAACAATCTAAACACAGTCTTGGGTATCTTTGACAATTCTTTATCAATATAAGGAGCCATTTTATTATTCATTCTTATTCCCCTTGTGGTAACTGTTTGATATTTTCACAGCAAGGGTTCTTATGATTTTATATAAAATGGTAAAACTACTTTAAAATTCCACTTCGTTTATATGGGGTTGTTTTGGATGTCGTTATAAACCATAATTTTAATTATTATGAAAAGTATATTACGCACAATATATAGGTTTGTTTTCTAAAAAGAGACACTCGGGAAAATTTTTTCTTCTCAACGTTCGTTTAAGTTTCACATTGTTCTCGCTTTAAGGACTAATTACGTATATACATTTATGTATAAGAAAGGTTGTTGTGCAAATTAATACAAACTTTGTGTTATTTCACAGCAACATAAATTATGTTCACAGACTTATGTAAATTCTAACATAACTGAACATTGTAGCGACATAAGCTCATACACTTTTTTATTTTTTATGTGTTTTCTAACGTTACGTGACGCTTTCAATTCTAAATTATGTTTATTAACATTTTTGTTTTGTAAATTCACATGTTTACGAAGAGTTCAGGTTTGAATCGACAAACAGTAGAACGTAATGTAAACGTAGTTCTTTAAGTGAGAAAACTTTACAAATATTTTTTTTTTATACAGAGTTTGTCTTTTAATTTGTGTTATGAAATGCTTTAATTTACTATTATTATTATGTTTATATAGATTGTATTAAATTCAACACAAGGTTTTGTTGTAACTTAACACAATTAATGTTTCTAATAATAAGAGTGACACGCGGTTTTCAACACAAATTTTTTTTACACTGCTTTTTTTCCTTGGGGTTATTTATCAAAGTTTAACTTACATTTTGTTATTCATTACGAGCTCCAAACATGCTCGCCCTTTCAGTCGTGGAGGTGTTATAATGTGACGGTCAATCCCATTATTCGTTGGTAAAAGAGTAGCCCAAGAGTTGGCGGTGGGTGATGATGACTAGCTGCCTTCCCTCTAGTCTTTAACTGCTAAATTAGGGACGGCTAGCGCAGATAGCCTTCGTGTAGCTTTGCACGAAATTCAAAACAAACTAAAACCAATCGTTAGGAGCTAACCAAATATTAAACATTAAACTGTGAAGTTCAATTAAACAATAAATGTCAAGTGGTTACTATTCCCTCGTTTTGAAAAAAAAATCAGATATTTTAAACCAGTATATGTATCACTGTAGAAAGATTAGTTTCAAATACACAACACAACTTGTATGTTGTGGAGAAAACACACAATTATTGTAGGCTGATAAAATACAACATAATAAAAATACGAGTTCTTAACACTAGAATGTATTTAACTGGACGGATATTTGAATTGAAAACCGCACGTTATTCGTGTTGTTAAAAAACGTAAAATACTTGTGTGTTTATGTCGATACAACATTTAGCTATATTAGAAGTCACGCAAATGTGTTTAGAGAAAACTATTTGCGTTGTTTTTGTTAAATTACAACACATATATATATATATATATGTACACTCTCTCGTTTAATGCGTTATTTCGGAGCGAGACTCGCATGAACTCTGACAAAAACTTTTAAATCCTTCTTGATACTCGAAGTACTTTTCTTATCATTTTCCCCTTTTAAACTAATCCATTACTTTTAAAAATGAGAGAAGCACCAGAGGACGAGGATATTAGAATTAGGCATTGTTATAATTTAGAAGTTATAGCATTTATTGTGACAAAACTTGGTTTATATTTGATTAAAATTTAAGTTTCAACAAAGGCATATTGAGGCTTTTACACTTAGCAAGTTATAATAATAAAGGCAATATCTCCAGCGAATTTACTGCACACTTTTTTCTTCTAAATACCTCCTGAAAAAAATTTACTGCACATTATATTTGCACACGTTCTTGATTGGTTATTGTACGATGAGCATCATAAGTGGCTAAATATAACTGGTCCAGCAAGAGTCTGTTTGTAGTTAAGCATAAAACTACACAATGGGCTAGCCGTGCTCTGCCAACCACAAATATCGAAACCCGGTTTCTAGCGTTGTAAATCCGCACAAATACCGCTGTGCTACTGGGAGGCTCCAGCGGGAGGTCTGAGAACTACGATAGCTTTTCGGCAACTTGCTAATTATGTTCCATAACACGAATAATCAACTAGTTCTTCCTGGCCAACGTGGGGGAAGAAATAGAAATTTTGAAAGATAATGTAGCGTTTCTCATCAATTTTATTAGATAAATACTTTTAAAAAACAACCAATCTATCATTTTACAAATTTGACTCAAAAAACAAAACAAAAACAATTTAGTCATTCACGTGCATAATATATAACAGTAATTATTAAACAAACAATTGAAAAACTCGTAATATACATATCACAATATAACATATAAAGACAAATTCAATACAATAATGCAACAATCCATTGCACTCGTATTGCCCGAGATTAGCTTGAAAGCATGGCAACGACTTCAGTTATCTTTTCTGACAAGTAAAATCGTCGAATTACCATCCATCGATCATCTCTGGGTTCTTTTTGAGCATCGCATTCGTCATCGTAATCGTCGTCTCTGTCTGTGATTCATTTGCAAATCGTACTATTCGACAAGTGGTATACAATCGAACAAGACACTTTAAAACATTTTGTGGAGTCTAGGCTACGTCGAATTTGTATTTTTATTTAATGTATTTAATGTAAAGCTCCTAAAACTATCTGACGCCGTCCCTAATTTTGATCTAATGACAAGAGGCAGGGGAGTCGAGAGACCAGGCCCCGGAATCAGTAATATCATCATGCCCCCCCCCTTTCATTCTATTTATTAACTTTTGCTGATTTTTCATAAAAGAAATTTATATGACAATTTTCTTCGTGAATCCACGAAAAAGTAGTAGCCATTTTAGCTCATTAAGTACTATGTATTTCTAGTGAGTTTTGGAATATCCCACTGCCGGGCCCCAGGGCAGCTGCTCCCTTGCCCCCTTACTCCCTTGTCAGCCTTGACAAGAGGATCATAGATCTGCCACCAAAACCCTTCCATCCACGATTAGAGACTGAGTGTCACTCTTATACCCCACCAACAGCTCAAAGTACGTTGAATATTTTGTTGTATCGCACGGATTTGAACTCGGACTACTAGCTCCAAAATCCAGATCCTACCACAGAAGCAATCCATGCCCTTTGCACGTCGAATCCAGGCTGTTGTTTCAGAAAAACCAACATAACATTAGTGGAAATCATATAAAAAATTGGCCAATTAGTGTATGTAACGATAAATAGAAAGGCAAACAATTGTTTGATTATTCATATAACACATTTTTGTAAAATTACTAAAGATATGCTTGGATCATCTCAATTATACATTTTAGATTTCATTAGCCTTTGATCAGAGCAAGGCACATATATAGATTAGAACATAGATCACAGCAAGTTACCTACATAGATCAGTTGGGTACCTTCACTGCTATTGTTATTTTCGGCCATAATTCAAATAATATTTCACGACTTAGGTGAGCTATAAATCCGTTTAATAATCCAACAATGCAGAATAATCCTCATAATAAAAAATATGCAATAAAAATGAAAAATAATAAGCGCATATATATTATATGTATATTAAACACGATAACTAATAATGTTAATGAAACTAACGTTGAAGAATGTGAAGAATATAACTTTGTATCATTCCCCCTAACAACATCTGGTGAACAATTAATATTAACTTCCTATCAAAGTAAACAACCTACTTTGATCGAAATTACTCCGATAATGATAAAACCTGGCCTTACACTTAGGCCCCCCGGGAGATACGGGGGGTGGTGGTGTCGGATCTGACCTTGCGTGTTGAATGGGTGTGTCAACTAGTAGTAGTTAAACAAGGTCACGGAAGTGGTAAATTTGACGATTAAAGTAATTAAGTGTGTGTTTTCTTATAGCAAAGCCACATCGGGCCCACCGAGGGGAATCGAACCCCCTTTTTTAGCGTTGTAAATCTGAAGACTTACCGCTGTCCCAC